TAAATTCCACATCAATAACAAAATTACTCCAAGAAAAATCTCTGCTTTCCACTTCATATCCATCATATTCAAATTTCAGCCACATGTACAAATTCTTAGTTTTAAAAGCAGTGGTCATACTAGATAGAAAACCAAAGTTCTGCCTAGAAAAAAAATAGCACCACATTTCTTGTAGGAAACTAACTCTGTGAAGTTTCCTTACAGGACAAGACTGAGTCTACTGCACCTCCTTCTCAGACATACACAAAGCATTTTGGATAAGGTTCTGCCTAGAAGACTTCATAGTAACTAGGAAGCTCCTGAGAACACATGATGCAAGCTCAAAGAGTTCAAGGGAATTCTAAAGGACTCTCACATATGAGTACTGAGAACAAAATGATAGTAGCAGAACAGAGTTTAAGTATTTTACTGAAGACTGAAATGCTTGGTGTGGCAAGAACCAGTAAAATTGACAAGCTTCAAAAATGGCTTCTCCAGAACCATTAATGTCTTAGTCAATAAGACACCAGGCTTTGCAGCTACATACATTAATATACACATGCATATGTATATTTCTAAACAGATAAAAGAAATCACAGAATTCACAGAAATTCTAATATGATATTTTGAAACAATTGTAGGGAATATCACAGTAGATACGCAGCAGAGTGGTAACACAAGTTGTTACACGCGACTAAATCAGAACACAAGCGGTTTACTTAAAAGAACCTCATTTACTTAAAAAGCAAAGTCAAGTCCTTTAGTCCCCAAAGCACAGCAAAACCAATTACAGATAGTTTGGTTGCCAGAACTAAAGTAGAAAATTTAAGATGACAACAAAATCCTGTTTGTTTCTAAAACAGAAACTGTATTTTCAACTTTTAGATCAAAAAATGAGTGAGGCACTGTACTAAGCATTAGAATTCCTACCACTGTACACTTAATTGTTTGGTATATTTTTCTGATACTCACATAAGAAAAAGGAGTAAAGGTATTAAATATACTTGAGATTGTAATTTCAACTTAAGTAGGTGCCTTATTCTGAGAAGTGGTTCTTAAAATACATCTTAGGCTAAGAATTTTAATTTGTCTTTGACACTTAGCAAGGCAAAATAAACACAGGACTACTCATCAGAGTCTGTATTATGTAAGTGTTTTAGGATTTTTTTTTTCAAGGCTGGGCACAGTTCTTTTCTGCACAGTTTCCTGTAGGTCAAGAAATTAAGTCAATCTTAAACCAGAAAGAATTACAGGCATTAATATTTTCAGCTGCTTACTAATGAGTGGTAATCTGACTCATGATTTAGGACAATGAATTCTTATCTCCATGCATTAATTCATGAATTGCCCCATTAGCTTTTCAAAATATGGGAATAATGTATAAACAGAATCACAGTCACTACAAATATTTAATAATTTGAGGGGGAAAAATGTCTACACTACAGAATATAAGTACAATCTAGGAAAAAATTATAGACCCAAGTGTAATAATGATGTTAATAATCTGACTTGGTTTTACTCACGCATCTTAGTCTTCTTTTTGCTGAGCTAAACACGTTACGCTCTTTTAATCCTTCCTTGTAAGGCTGTTTCTCCAGCACTTGATTAACATTTGTGGTGCTTTCCAGCACCCTCTCCACTTTTATCAATATGCATTTTTATAATAGAAAGCAAATTGGACATGATATTCCATCATCTGCCACATGCAGAAGTATAGCTACCTCCCTTATTTCTTTTCATGAAGTCTACTGTGACCCTTAAGCTTTTTTCAGCCACTGTTTCTCAGGATAATCTTTTCAGTTCTGAAGATACAGTCTGCATAAATTGTTTCCTTGATATATAACTTTAGCTTTAGAAGATTTTGTGTATTTTCTACAAGCAATGATGCAAGCACAGTGATCCTGATGCATTGCCTATAGAGCCTTTAACATAATTTTTCTCAGGAAATTCTTTGCAACATATGTTGATGCTAGCAGCCATGGGTTTTTATTAACTTTCAGATTATTAAATACCAATTTCACGTATTATTCCCAATTAACAACTTTTCCTTTAGACTTCAAGTTAGTAATTTTTAAGTCATTTAACATTTCCACAGATATCGTATAGGGATGTATACAGATTAGAATACCATGAGACAAAGTGTCAAACTCCTTACAAAAGTCTAAGCATATCAAATCTTTGCAAACATTTTATCAACTAAGAATTGAAACCATAATGAAGAATGGAAATCAGATGTGTTTAACAAGACTATATTTCCATAAACCCATATTCATTATTGTGTAACAAATACGTAATTCTTTACTAACAGAATCATATAATAGATTTTTTCCTTTATGTTGTCTGAGGGAGAGCAATAAAACTACCTGTCTTAATTTTATTTGAACATTACATTTTTCATTTTACTACACATACCTTCAGCTGTCTAAAACCTGTTCTTCCAAGGTGTGTTAAAAATTAGCCTCAGAAGAAGATCCCTGAGCACAAGTTACTCAGTCTGACTGATTTGAAACTGTTTAACAGTAAGCAAGAGGATGTTACAGACCATATGTTACGACAGACTTCAAAGTAAAGTCATGCTCATGTGACAAGAATATATCACTCCTACAAATGAAGGACATACGTTTATCCAGTATGCTGCCTTTTCTTTTTCACTGTCAAGAAATTTATCACATCCTTTCTAGTGATTCCTGATATTTTGTTCCTAGTGCATACTAAAAAATGTTCCTATTGTCCTCAAACCAGCCAGATGTGGATTTTCCCTGTCTTTACCACTTACCAGTTTTTCGCAACTTACAATTTTTATTTATAGTGTTCTGCTATGCAGTAATTCTTGTTTCTATTTGTTATATATTGCTTTTATATATTTAGGTGTCTTTATTTCATCACTAAGTAAGTGTGGGCTGTTGGCCAGAGCTTGAAACACCACTTGATATATTAACAAATCAAACTCTGAGGGAAAGCAGCATTGCTTATTGCTTAGGCTAGAATGCTGCCCTCACATCCACCACAAAAGGAAATGCTAAGCTGGTGCTGCTGCAAAACCCATGAAACTAAAATGTTAAAAAATTGTGTGGGTGTATTCATGCATGTGTGTATGTAAATTCCTCAGGAGAAAAAACATGATTTTGATTATTTCATAGTATTTATGTACCACAGTTCATTGTGCAAGTTTGGTTTTGGACTGCATGAATAAAGAAGAGGTTTGCTTTTTTTTTTTCAACTCTACTTATAAAGTCACAATAATATGTGTTTTTCGAGGGGAGGATAGTTTTGGTACCTATCACCAGGTACAAGGTACAAACAGCAGACGATTGACTAGAAGAGAAACAGAGGTCATTGTTTTTCTACTCTTTACTGAAGGGATCCCAACTCGAAAAATGCAAATCTTATTTGATTAAAAAAACTTTCTTAATCAATAAACGATGAATAAGATCTTATTGGGGCATATCTCCACAATATATAACATTTTTCTGAACTAGCACACCAGCAATGTGGGTCATACTCCTCATTATTTTTCCTAATTTTTATTGTTCTTGAGAACAAAAAGCAGAGGAAGAGAGAAGCAATTTATTTCACATTCAGAAACAGATGAGAGTTTGGGAAGATCTGGGGTGAAAGAAAAAATGAAAGGAGAATGGTACTGATTTTCACAGTGATGATATTTTAAAATTTTCCAGTGGAAGAGGTTAGCTGGCTTTCTTATTAATTTACTAAAGCTAATCTTTAGCATTATTCTTTAAAAGCACACATAGATTTTCTTCCTACATCCAGGCTTAACCATTGCAATTCTGTTCTTTGGATGCATTTTCAAGCAAAGGATAGCAATAAGACAAAATTCTTAAAAACCTCATTTTAATAAAGTATACAGCTACAGAGCTACAAAACCCAGACTTTTAAAAAAAGACTTCCCTGACAGCATGCCCTAGAATTCCCTTCCAACTAAAATCGTAATTCTTTCTTGCCAACACAGCCAGCCTAATTTTATCTTCCCATGTTTTCAGCATTCCCAGTTGGAAAATTGTAGAGGATGCTGGCAAAAAAATGATTTATGTAAATTCTCACTGTCTGCACTTCTTGCAACTAGGTTATGAGAAAAATCTGAAGACTATACTCTTAGGATTATGTAGTGTGCAATCGTATATAATGGTAAAAAAACCCCCCATACCTATAGGACTTACGTAAACATATGATGACACCAGTAAAACACTTTTTCCTCCTTTTTTTTTTTTTTTTTAAATCTCTAGAAGAATTGTTGGTAATGGAAGTGATTGCATTCATGCTAGCTGTTACAAGGCACAGTTTTAACATCAGCACCTCTTTATTTATATATAAAGATTGTAACAGGGATGTAAATATATTTTATGTGTGAAGGTAAAACAATTTCTTACAGAAAAGAAGTATTAGCCATAGATCAAATGGCCACTTAGTGTTGTTTCAAAGAAAGCTTACACTCTACACACCTCTGTAAATACCTGAAAGCCTCTTACCTAAAAGTCTGAATAGCTTCAACTAAGACTTATTCAATAAATGATAAACCATATCATCTGTTCGGCATCAATCACAAGGTACATTTTAATAATGTTCTCTAAACGGAAATAGACTATCTACCTGCTTCTCTATTGCATGGTTTTCTAGGTGCCAATTTCCACAAGAGCTAAGGCTCTCTGCTTATGCTCCATCGCTGGAACAAGTATCTATGGAAGACTGAACTGGTACCAGTGTATAAGAGCTGACACAAGAATCATTGCAGAACCGTAAGTTCTCTTTCCACAATTCTTGACTATTTTTTTTTAATAATCACATTTTAAATGCAAACTCTATAGGTATTGAGAAAGCAAAGATCAAGTAAACACCTAAAAAAACTTTTCAGCAAATCTGCAGAGCAGTAGCATGAATGTTAGATGTTTCCTAACTCTGATCCTTAAAACTGAAGGCCCGAGCAATGGTCAGCAATTTAGCTAAATTAGAGTATTTGTCTACAATACTGAATAGCAAAAAATCGCTCACATAAAATACTGTACCTTCTACAGTATGATCTTCCTCATTTTTGGGAAAGAAGACTCTTATTACACCAGTGTTGACATAAATCAGGGGCAAGTTGCGGGAAGTTAGAGCATGAGTCCTCATAGGTTGGCCTGGTGATTTTCTTTTCTCCTTTTGACTCCTCGGCAACCTGGCTTGAAAAATGCTTGCAATCGCATTAAGCAAAGGAAAACAGAGGACCACATCAAAGGCCTGAGCAGAAAGAAGGATCTCGTGAAGAAAGTGAGGAGAACCATCAGTGTGACCTTCTGATAGCTTATGGAATGTTCTTCGTTCATTTCTTGATATCAGTTTGTGTCGGACATTTTTTGTCACAGCTTTGGTGTAAGTAAGAGAAAGAAATCCATGTTGTTGGTGTGAGCCATCTAAAAGTTTTGCAGTTGTCTGTTACAAGGAAAAAAAAATGAACAAAAACACTGCTGCAAAAATGTACACATATAATATCCATCAATTACTATATTCTCTGTTAGTTAGGATGTTTGGGGTTCTATATTTTCTAATAGCTTTCCACTGTCTCTGAATAGTAGAAAAAAATTCTTTTATTTTTTTTTTGAATGGACAATTTGTCCGCAGTGTGTTCACACTTCACTGTATTGTGTCAGCTAAAATGATGAACTGCTGAACATTTTTTTCTTTTCTGATTATTTATGAAATAAATGTATGAAATTCAAATCCAATCAGCCAAAAAACCCCCCACATATTCAAGAGTCTAAATTTACCAAAATTTTCCGATAATTTGCATACAGTTCTATATTTTCACTTCTCCTTCACTTTAGACATTTTAGAAATGGATTTTACTCCCTTGCATTGTTCTTTCTGTATGTGCAAACACCATAGACGCTAAAGTATCACTTGGGTGTTAAGAGCTTCACTTCGTCTAAACATGGGTGTATAAACCACCCATAGTCAACAAAATACTCTAAGAATTGAGCTCTTTTTCCCCCTCATCATCTCTGAGTACTTAAAGAGAAGAGCTGTACCACGTGCTAAAGCACATCGCTTAAATAGAGATACACTGCACTGTATTTTAGAAACAGCAGATTCCTTCACTTAGGACAGATTTCTTAGCTAAAAATGACAGCTAGATGCTTAGCTCCCAGAAGATGTACAGTACAGTTCTCATAATATCTTTGAAAGTCTTTCAGTCACATGTTGTTAGTGAGTGAAAAATGTAAAAATAATAACTAGGAAAACAATTATTTTTATTAGTGTAATAAGAATTTTGATAGAATTCTATAAGATGGTTTAAATACTAGCTTTAATCACGTAAGCATGTAAACAAATTAGTAAGTTAATTTCCTGAAACAAATAAGATTAAGAGAAAGTATTACCAATCAATATTCATGACGAAAATAAATCAGACCACACAGAACTTCCACTAACATAAGATCCTACACAGCCATATGTTTGTGAAGATAAAGAGCCTAATGTCATGACATATAAAGTCTTTCAAGGATAAACAGGCAAGGAAAAAAAGGGGTTAAATATCTCACACTGAGATACTCTGAATCAGCAGGTAACATTCCAAGCATTCAAAAGAAAGACTCAAATATGAAATTGTTAATTGTTGCATTATCATACTTACAGAAGTAATTTTAAAAGTTTGCATAAAGTTAGACTGCAGTAATACAAACTACTTAAATCTCTAAGTAGATACCAGAATTACATGAACAAATAGCAGCGTTCAGTACTGGCTTTTACATATTTGGTCTCCAAACGTTACTGTATGTGCTCACTTTTAATATAAAAGAATCCCATTGACTTCAGTGGATTTCTGTTATGTACCAGGTTGTGAACCATCAACCCTCATTCCCATATCACTAAAAAATTGCTGACAACTATTACTAAAGGATAAGAGGGAAATAACTAATATAATCAATATAAGCAATAAATATAGTCAGTACAAAAAAAAATTAGATTGCGAGAAACAAAAGCCATTTGAGATTTTCATTTTTTTACTCGAATTGGCATTTATTAGTGGAAGTTCTGCAGTAAAAAATTTTTAAAAGATTCTTACAGAGGGAAAGAAGCCAGAGAAATTACTGAAAGGGTCCTGCTTGCTGATGGGTCGAACCAACAAGGTACGTCTGTTCAGCTTGTCAGTACAGGAAAGGAACACACCTCCATATTGCCCCAGAGACCAAGAATCTTCCCCAAGGCTTGAAGTAATGAATGAGACATGGAAGAGGGGAAGACAAAAAGCAACAAAAACCATTGCTATAAGCAAAAAAAAGTTACTTTAAACTTGCACATTTCTATGTAACTGCAAGGTAAAGTCTATGCCATACCTTTTCCTAAAGAGCTGAAATTCAATCTGATCAAGCAAAAAACTGGTAAAAAAACCACTTCGTAAAATTTTATGTGAAAGGACAACCTACAGCAAGAGGTCAAGACACACGAGAATAAAAGTATAGTAAAATCCTTCATACAGAAATGGGACTTACCCCTGGATTTTCAGCAGATAGCTTTATTAGAATGAGGAGAAGAATGATTACAAGAACCAAGAAACTGTGAATGAAAAGCTGCACTCATATACATAACAAAATAATATTATTATTTAGAAAAAATGAGCTAATAAGTATTAAAGTGTGCTTTATACTACAGTTTTTGTAATCATTCTTTTTTAACATCTGTAAGAATAAAGAAAAGTATGTTGCTTAAGAAAGTAAGCACCTTAGTTTACTAAAGAAATCTCACCAAAAGCTTTTCTCTGCATTGAAGAAATATTCCTTCAAAATGTCCTGACTGCCAGTCTCCCCCTTGCCTGGAAGACAGAATGTTCACCTTATCTATTCTCTGATTTTGGTTTTAGTCCACAGAGATTTAAAGATAGAGAAAGGTACTCCAAAGAAATAAGAAATATTAAATATAATATAATAAATATAATTGTAATTAATTATAACGTATAATTATTATAATTTATTATAATATAAATGAGAACAGTAACAATTTTTTCAGGTAGAATAAGCTTTGGGGCTTTGTTTGTTGTTGTGTTTTTTTTTTTTAAAGCGTCAATATAACTTTAGCAAATAAGGACAGCCTGAAGTTGAAAATGTTTCTAATGGAGCATTAGGCTTCTGGGAGTGAAGAACCTTCTCTCAAGCTCTCCATAGAATCTGTGGACAAATCAGCTTGTTAAGAGCACCTAGCCAGTGGGATTCCAAAGCGTTTTAAAGCATCATGACCTCAATTTACAAGATTTTAAAAAATAAAGTAAATTTTGATTAGCAAATACAACAATATATACAAGCAGTAACTGCATTTGTAACTTAGGCAAAAGAACAGAAATTTAATTTTTTTTTTTAGACAGCTGATCAGAAAAAATGTCTCAGAAATGTTGGTAACTTCACTAAGTTGACACTAAATCTCCTTCCTACTGTACATAGGGAACAATAAGTGTCCAATAAGACCTTGCAGACAATGGCTCCTAAGTCAAGATGACTTGTGTTCCTAAATACTTTAGTCACTTTTAACGCCAAAAAAAATTCTGAAGCTTTTAACTATTTTTTTTTCCTCTCAGGGAGTAATACAACTATTCTATTTTCTCTTCATTTCTGTCTCCCATAACAGAATCTGTTGATCTGTAATGGAAAACACTAAACCAGTTGATCAGACTACGTAAGGTCTCTCTCATTTTGTCAAGACTAGTGTGATCATGGCCAATACAAGCTAGAAGGTGGTACACGCAAACTCTCTATAGAACCATGCATCAGGGTGCCAAATTAATGCACTCATTTCTGCAGCAAGCTATTCAACTAACAAGACTCACTGAAGTTGTAAGACATATAGTAGGCCTAACTACCTACCCTAAATGCACATAATACTGATGATATACTGGTTGACATTAATTACTGAAATTTCACTCAGGCATGTCTGCATAACACTATGCCATGTCACACAGACACAGGTGATCAGCTTAGCTCTCTGCATTATGGTGTTGCTAAGCCATAGCAACAGAAAGAGCTCCGTTTTATAGAAAACTTTTTAATATCAAAGAGTATGGTACCACAAATCATTAAATACTGGCACTTGCTAACACATCAGGAAGCAATATTTCAGGACTTTTCCATTCAAAAGTTCAGCTAAAATGAATGATTTTTGTCTAATGGACCAACAGAGCAGTGAATGTGAAAAAAAAAAAAAAAAAAAGGTCTCCTGATTTGTAATAGTTTCTGTGTATTTCTTTGGAATCAGAAATAATCCTGAGAAAAATGTAATTCTGATTTCTATTACTTAAAAGGTTAGAATAATTTCACTGAAATGGAAGAGTTACCTTAAATTCAAGTTAAGAATTAAGGAAAAAATAAAACCACCTGCCTTATTTCAGCTTGAAATTAAAGCAGAATAATTCCCAGGAATTACCTGTTTCTATAATGGTCAATATTGAAGCTTTCTATTTTACATTTGATTTTAGTATAGACATCCTGCATATCCACTGAGGCACTGAGATCTTCTAATTCACTGACAACACAAACTTCTGCAATAGTAAAAGAAAATAAAAATTATTAGTTATTAATCTGAAACTTGTATGTTTTTAAGCAAGAAATACATCTGAGATACTACATTTTGTAAATGGGATGATGCTACTTCTATACTCAGAGTTTTTTCATAAAACACTTTTTAATTCAGGTCAATCGCACAGATAGGAACTAGGAAAAAACCCTAGAATCCAAACCTTTTCATACAAATGTGTAGATGCTTATATATGGGGTTTTTAGTTCAGGTGTTCATAGTATATTTCCTGAAAAAAACGTAAAAAAATATTTGCCAAGATATTTACTCTAACAGTACTTGAGATTTCTTTCTTTCATGTAATTAGTTTATTAAAATCAAAGGTTTGAGTAAATCCCTTTCAAAAATTAGCCTTAATCATTAGTCTCCTTATATTTCCACATTTCTATGAGTAATAATTTTAATTGCTAAGCAGCAGTGTTTCCCAACCCCAAAAAAAAAAAAGGACATAAAGTATCTCACATACTTCTTTTTTCAACTCAGGAGATGAAACTTCTACATTGAACTCCATATTAAACTTCACACGACTTTAAGGATTATACTATGACGATTATGTTAAATTTAAATTTGAAATTATCAATACAAAACCACGTGTCTATACACGGACATACACAAAACATACTACGAAATCATATCAAAATGAAACATCACTGCTTTCAAGGCAATAAATGCAGCACTCTATTAAGTAAAATAACCAACTTATTTCCAATTTAATACAATCATCTTTCCCCATGGAAATTTAGAACAACACTGAATTCTCATTACATGCACTAACCTATCTACAGCTTATCGCTCTAGTTTAAGATATAGATCCAACCCCTTAACTCTGCATTACAGTGTTTAATATTGTCACTAAATGCTCTGAATAGTTAATACTGTGCTGTAAAAAATGTATGGAATTTAAAATAGTGTATTAGGCTAAAAATGCTGAATACCTGTGCCATTATTTCTAGGATCAGGAGCAAACAATTTTATAGTAATTTTTGGCAACATCCACTGCATCCACAGGCTGACACGTCCACTTGAAACTCCGATGTTACTTGTCGTTTGTTCCAATGTAATGGAGTCTGAGAATGGAGACTCATCACCACCCTGAAGAGAATCACCCTATGAAACAGATTAACAGTTGAGGAAAAAAAAGTATTGCTTTTCACCACTCCTCTTTTTTTCTTCTGTCTAGACCGATGCAGGTGCCTAAACTATATAAATACAGACTCACCAATAGTATATGTGAATTAAGCCATTTTTTTAACATCAGAAAAAAAAATAAACAAAATATATTCCCCTTTTCTTAGGTAGAGATAATAGGCTTTGGCAAAGATTATATGGTAAAACTCTAAGGTTCCATGACTTTGTTCCACTTGGCCAAGTGGACTCAAGAACAAAAGGAAAGGAACAGGGTATTGTCACTTTGATCCATTAAGACCAAGTTGTTTCTAAGATTTACAGACCAATAAACACCTGAAGTCTTAACTTTCATTGAAGGTTTGGGGGAATGAAAATTGTAAACTATGATGTTTGGGAATTTTGAGATTTATCTAAAGACTAATTGAGATGATTTCTATGGAAGACACCCTGGAATCAAACCTACACAGAAAGCATTGCCATTTGACTGAATCCATTTTAACCTGTCAGGCAAGAAATGCCAATGCACTCACTATAGCTTCAGATGTCTCACAAAAACTTATTTTTAGTGGCAAAATTTAAAATCTGAAAGTACTTGACTCATTCTGCAGTCCAAAACTGGAGAATGCAAGTATGGAAATTCTGTTAGCATGGGTTGTTTTTTTTACAGCTGGAGCATTTTTCAAGTTCTTTTTGTACTAAAGGCACACTTAATTTGCCAAACTGTAACTTACAAACAGTGATGGAGGGGGTGGGAATGAGAGACAGTCTCCTCCTTGCCCTCCATACACACCCTCTCTTTCTCAGTGGAAATGTTCCAAAATGCTTTTTGTATGAAAATCAACTTTGTTCTAAAATTTTGGCAGGTCTCTACATTTCCAATAGTTAAAAAAGAAGAAAACAATAGTAAATTAAACAAGGGGTACAGTTAACAGCAAATCCATACTGCCACCTTGGCAAGTTTTGGATTTTTTAATTAGGTTATTTATTTTCATAATTTAATGTGTTCAGATCTTTCATGCATTTTGTTAACTTTTTTTTTTTTTCACAGAGAGATGGTTTTATTTAGTGATCTGAGTATATAGATACTTTGCTCTTTAGAAAACTGAGGCTATCATTTTCCCACACTTTTCTTTAAGCTTATATTTCTGAAGATTAGATGATGTACTATGCCTTGCAGAGAATCAGCCAGTTGATAATTTTGGCACAAGGTTACTTACAACAATACTTGTGAGATTCTTGAAGAACTGCATTTATCCAGCATAACCCCAGACATATATAAAAAGCAAATTAACCCATGAAGATGCAGTCAAATTTAAAAGCAGCAAATCCTGAATTTTAAGGAATGTGGCTCCTACCAATTTCCAAGCCTATTACATCTATGAAGATTACAAAAACACAAGAGTTACAGGTACAGGCCCAGATGTATCATCAGAAACTGCATCCTCCTTTTCTAAATACATAATGGAACAGGCTGTATATCTGATATGCTATAACCAAAAAATACACAGGTGAGGAAAAGAGGACAAGGTGCTTGCAGTTTCCATTACTATTGCTGGAGCTAAGCTTTCGCTGGCATCATTCCAATGTTGTTTGTGCTTATCGTTGTCTGATTTGCAGATGTTTTTCACACTAATTTCTGTAGCATGGGAGATGGCTTTATTAAATCCTATTCAAATTGTGTAGCGCACGATTGCATAGCTGTAGAATAAAACTTCATTTAGTCAATGCACAAGGCCTACATGTGCATGTATTTCTGGAAGGGAACTTGAAAAAGAAAACTAGTCCTTGAATTTCTAAGAGTGAAATAGAGCATGTTGATGTAGAACAACGTTATCAGAAATAAAGGAATTGTGAACCTCTGGACACAGCCAGAGGCAGAGTAAGCTCGGGGTCAGACACCTGGACCTGCAATTGCCAGGGTCTTGGAACTTGTTCTACCACAGGGCCTGCAAGTCCTAACCACGGCCTCAACTCACTTGTGCTTAGCTTTGCACTGCAATTCTGTACTCCGGTTACTGCCTTCCCATCCAGTAATCCAGGTCACTTGGATTAGCTAGCTTGACAGTACAGCTAAAACTGCATTAAGCTGAGGCTTCCAGCGATAACCTCTTCTGTTTGCAGCTATGCTAGCTGCAGAGCTTATCAACAGACATTCCCAGCTGCTCAACAACATGCCCCTGTCAAAGGTTATTGGGTTACTGGCTCCATCCACCCCCTACTTCAACAGTTCAATGTGAACATACTATCTCCATTTTTTCTGTCCTTCAAACACATATAAACAGTTGAATTGGCCCATTCTCTTTCTCAGTGGCAGAAGCACTGCAGATGATCCTCCGAAGGCAGACGTTGCTATATGGCTGTCCTTTGGGAGATGAAAAATTAAGAGACTGTATTTCTTCTTGGCCTTCTGTTAATGGTACTGTAACCAGAACCATTGGGCAGAGTCACGGTGGCTGAAAAACTGACAGTCTGCAGTAGCTGATGTCTTTTTTTTTTTTTTCTTAAATAAGCTCAAATTCTTCGAATTTTTTTGCAGTGAAAACTAAGAAACCGAAGTGAGAAGAGAGACTGTGCTCTTGTTTCTCATGAAGTTTCAGTTTTCATTTTGGATTTTCAGCACCCAGCATGGTATTGTTAAATATGTTTATGCATTAATTTTCTGCTCTGTTTCCAGATCTACAGAAAAATCAAGCCAGAGTCAGAAACCCTGAACTATTTTCCCACAACTTCTCATGCCAAGTCCTAAAATACACAATTTAATTCTTTCACCAATTGTTGCAAATTGACCAATATACCGAGTTTATTTTCTTAGCAGAATTTATCTTTGTTCATCAGGAAGATCCAAACATATGAGGCCTTCATCCTTGGCCTGCCTAAAGCTCGGGGATGATCACAGTTTGGCCACACTAATGCTATGCCTTATCAAAATAACTTCTGCGTTCTTGCTCAATCACTGAGTTTCCCCAAGGACTAAACACTTCTACCACTGTTTGTACTTAAGTAAACAGTAACAAGTGGCCTGTTGTAGTCTGTACTACCTTTGCTTTTGCTGTTCCAAAGGAGGGATGGTAAAAATGATTAACTGTTTCCAGCCCTCCAGTACTTAAGTCTCTCACTCATGTTTCCCTGTCTTAGCACCACCCAGACTTAAATTCAGTAAGCTAGGTAGCTTTATCCACATAGGACTGTGGTGCTCACCATCAACTTGTCAGCATGAAAAGAACTGCACACAGCTTAAAATATAAATCATCCACAGATCACATAAACAAATTACTTCTTTTGCTGTTTAATATAAACAGTTGTGAGAGTTTGCTTTCTTCCAATTCATTTATAGCAAGTCCATTGCAGCTGAAAGAAGCTTTAAAAATAATCATTTCTCTCCCACAGAACAAAATAACACATTAACTGTAAAACCTCTAAACTTAAAAATCATACCTATCGCAGCAAAGTACTTCTCTTCGACAGATTTCAAGATTTAAAATTATAGGAACACATAAACAAAATACAGACTCTGATAAAATGCAAAATTCTAGAAAATCTCCCTAAATCAAACCTGTAGAAATACATATTAGTGTTTAATTACTCTATATACTTCATTGCTGCTTATCAGCAATAATGACTATAAAATATATAGCTGCAAGGTGAAATTGTGGATAATGCACTTTTTAATATATTACTTCCTTTATTTCTTTCATTAAAAACATTACTGTTTCAACAGTGTTAAATCAATTATAATTTACAAATTCTTTGAAATCAAACAACATGGACCTAGATTTGCTCCAAATGGCTTCTTTGCATGTAACATCAGACCGCTATCAAGTACCTTCAAATTTCTAAAGACCAAAATATGGGTAAGTAATCAATACTAGCATTTTAGAGAATGTAAAGACATTAAGTACACAGTATTTAGAGAGTTTAAAATAAATATTTCTCTGAGTATTTGCAAATTGTTTTCAGTACCAAGATAGCAATCAAGCAAGATTTTGTTGGGTTTAGGTCTCCTAGCCAGTACTATAACTGCCTCATCTGTTTTTACTGCTCCCTTGATGGAATTCAGACTCCGTGGGAAGGGAAAGGAGTGGTCCATTTCCAACCAGCAGCAAAACCACAGACAGGGATAAATCAGACCCAGGAAAATGGTGGAATGCTGCTCCAATCTTCTTGGCTGCCTCCATCTTCCCTTTCCCCTCTACCATTCAGTGAAAGCATGCCTTTTTCAGTCATCCTCCTTTTCTGTGCAGTATCACTTATTCTCAGTTGGTTAACTTTCCTGACATCCTAGTTCCTATAAACACCACTTTTGTGAGATATTAAAGATAACTTTTGCCTTCCTGTCTCCACACACCACTTAATCCCTCCCCATGGCTCAGATTTTCTACGCCAGTCTCTGAAGAGGACTTGAAAAATTCCATGACATAAGAAGCTGATAAGCATTAGGTTACTTTGACGTCCCTCACCCTGCTTGTACACTTTTTTAAATTAAAATTACTTCTTCGGAAGGTACCTGGAAAAATATTCAGCCCTCAACTGCAATAGGGCACCTTTGATGCAAGACAACGCAACTGGGTTTTAAAGTCCTTGTTTGAATTTCACTAGTTAGGCTCTTGTGAACAAACACGGTCTCCAGATAAAAAGTCTTATGTCTAAGATAGATGTTATATACAATGATCCATACTTGGATAGACTGTGGAGGACTACATCTTCACCCAGAAGAAAAACCTGGCCTCATTGAAAATAGTAGTATAACCAGACTGACATCTGCAGCCCATTAGATAATTTGACAGGTAGAACTAGCTGCTGTACTTCACAGGAGACAAAACAATTAAAAAAACCTGTGTACACTTCTTGTGTACAAGGCCTGTCGACTTACTTTGCCTGCTTTTGGGGCAGAGGAATAGCTGTATAGCTCTCTGTGCAGATGCCACTCAGATGCACCTCTGCATCTATAATGGGGTTCTGTGCATAGTTGAACACACTACGAAGATCTTCTTTCTTTGAATAAAGTCTATATTATACGGACTATAACTGAGGCACTCAGCAGACTGGAGTGGTTGACAGCAGCTGGAGACAACAGAAGTGACCAGATTCTCTCTCTCATCTTTACATCCTACCCTCTTCAAATAAAGGAGAAGCATAATTTCATGATCACACTATCTACAGCTAGGTATGGCGACAGTAATTAAGTTAGGAAAAACAGGGGAACTAAGGGATTAACTACTCTCAAAGGACAAACAGCTTTCACTGATGAAAAAGAATGAGGGAGAACATTCCTTAGCCTTTTCAATACATATATTTTTTAATTCTCAACAATTCTTACCTCAAAGAACAGGACAGCAACCATGTCACTATAATGAAAACCTAGCTTGTGCTTTGACACTAGTAAATACGTTGAATAAGTTCAGAGACAGACACCAACCACAGAAAGAACATGTTGTAGAGATATTGCCAACCACTATGTTACAAATTATTTAATTTATATTGTCTAGAATTGTCTTATTAGAAATGTAATAAGAAAATATGGTTCTTTTTATTATTTCTCACTGGTTGGCCAAGTGTGATTCTCCTACCTCTTTCTCTTTCACACACCCAACAGTACTAAACAACTCTCAGACATCAGGACTGTGCATAGTCTCAGGAACAATGTTGTTAGCTACTTTATGCATGATGATCTGCAAAAGGTCATCATATAGCTTCAAAGCACTTTGAGATTTATTCTTACTGACGGCCACCAAAAGGTTAAAAAGAAAAATATTCAGGTGAAGTTGATATTGATTTAAAATCGTGGTAGAGTGTTTAAGATCATTTTCCCTATGGCTTAACAAAAATCTGTTTGGAAAATGTTACTTTGTTTACATCATCTAGAATGGATTAACTTGCTCATCCTGCTAGGTGATTCACCTCACTCCAACTGGTAGCTCGGCAAAAAATTAGCCCTAAGAGTGAAGGATAATTGGGTTTTTTTGAGATTTGCTTTGTTTTAAACCTCAGTCTTTAAATACAAGAAAGCACTAGGTCAAGACAACATTTGATGTTATATCCCATAAGAACCGAATCATTTAGATGAATCCTGCACTGGCTATCCATTTTTTTTTCACCTTACAGTACTATTAATTTTTTTCAAGAAATCACAAGTCCGACATCAAAGGTGGTCTTCAAGTACAAACACTGACTCACAGATTCATAAAAATGATAGTACACACAAACTTAAATATGGCATTTTTGTAGCTACTAGCCTTGTAAGAATCTAAACTCTGGCTTGACTTCCTGTGACAAAGACTCTCTCCAAATCTTTTTTTCAACCACAGTAATTCAAAACCTTCGCCTTTCTCTTTTTTTTTTTTTTACTGTTAAGTAAAACCCTTGTATACCCTACATACTGTTTTGATTTTAGTCACCTCAATACACCTAATATTCCCACCCAGATAATCAGAAACAGAATAAGATTTTCCTCAGCTGCTGAGCCAAAAATATTACCCTTCTACTTGAACAACTGTGAATCTTTTCCTGACAATATACAAATTCTAATTCTCATTTTCAATTTCTGACAAATAATTTCTTACAGTCTCAAATATCTGGTCATGTATATATGTCCTCCTGTCTCACTGTCTCCGTTAAACAAATGACACCTGCCTCAGTATGCTTTTCTGTCTCTGCACTTGTATAACCCTTGCACTGGTTCTTTCTTCTGAACTGCCTTCCTACCCCAGACACAGACAAAATACCTTGGGCTGAGAGCTCTGAATGGGGATGATGGACAGGAGTTCTGTTCTTCAGTCTTTCAGTCATATGAATGAAATGCAAACATTTTCTCCTGTTTGTAGCTTTCTTTTGTCTTTCATATCTTTAATGATATCCTCAGAGAATGCTCAATTTTTTAATTTACTTATCCTGTCTAAGCACAATGATACATTCTCTTAAAAGCAGCCTCAGTTGTAAACTGCTATGGCAACTTTAAGTCCTCTATTGTGAAAAAAAATCCAATATTAATGCCATGTGTTTTAATAGAACCTTCTATTCAAACAATATTGATACTATGGTCTTAGTTTCAGACTGGAAAAGACTGAACACAAATTCTAATATTATCCTTTGTTGGTTAATTCACCAAACTTCATTTAGATCAGGAGAAAATTTATTTAGCTAGTGCGTAACATTTGTTGAGAACAGGAATAAATTCAAATAAATGATGAACAATATTTTGCAAAGGGGTAGGATATGAACGCTGAACTTGGACCCATATTACGAAAACAATTTTGGTAACATACGGATTTTAACAATTACTGAATTAGTTTCAAGTAATGCTCCAAGTACAGCATGTACTCCAAATACTGCTGCCTATACAGAGTCAAAAACAAATTGTTACTTATAAAGCTGGTAGTTTCTGAGTTTAATGAGAAAGGGATTTGTTGCGAGTAGGTGGAAAAATACTATTTTAGTGACTATATTGTTTTCTTACTATTATTGCTTACCTTCAATTCTGTATTCATGGCAAAATTTTTCACAATTGAGACCACACACACATAGAAATACATCAAAACCGAGGCTATTCAAATAATCTAGAAACATTTTAGTGAAATAACTTAAGAACTGAAACTCTCAAACACCTTTTAATGACAGTTACTTCTGTGTGTGTGCGTGTGTGTGTGATGCATATAAAAAGTGAGCACTAGCAGTCACTATTTCATCTTCTCCAAACACAAGAATTAATATATAAAGCATACATAGGATTAAAAAAATCCTGGTCAAATGTTGTTGAATATGTAATTGCACTCAGCATTCAAACTGCTGTGTATTTACCTGTGTTCCAGAACTGTTCTACAAGGTGCCCCGCTGTGTTTATGCTGAGAATGAAACCCAGTCTCACAGAACAGTTCTAATACACACATTCTAATAGCTTTATATGAAGAATGAAGCACTGCATACATATGACATACCATTGGCATACCTTAAACTCATCTTACACATTTTGGTTCTCTCTTGGAGCACAAACAAGGCCAACTCATTATTCTAACTACTAAGCCTGACAGGGGCACTATGAAAATCACAAATACTAGGCCTATTCAGCTGCACAGCCTCCTGTGACCACCCAATCTACTAAATATCAGCTACCTTGTGACTCATTGCTAATGATACTCATGGCTTAAGTTTAACACTGTATTCATGCTGATAAAAGAATTAGCCTTCTTTCCTCAGTATGGCAGAGAAGCAGAACTCCTTTCCATGCCTTAAAATAATATTTTACAGTCTTAGGCGCACACAGAGATTAAGATCAGATACCAGATTGCTCCAGGCAGTTACGCAATGCTGTAAATTAAAGAAGCAGAAATACATAAAACCAAGTGGCCAATCTTTCTTATATTTGAAGCTGTATGCCCAAACCCCTATGTGACTGAATTACAAAAGTACTCCTGAGACATGGGACAGCTGGGAAAGGGGAAAGAACTGAGCTCCAGAAGTAACCCGTAGATGGTAGGTAACAATGGCTTCACGGGCCTGGGGCGAGCATACAGCTGGTTGACCTGCAATACAAGCCTTGGGAGCCTTCACTGCCCCTATACCTGTCCTCACTGACAATACAGTCTACACACAGCAGCTCTCCACCAACTCAGGCATTGTAGTGACTGACTTCAATGTGACAGGCTGACTGCTGAAGCTACTTGGGATGACTCACAAGCAGCACAGGAATCACAAGTACTTCCAAAATATCAGTTACTATAATAATTCTGGACTTGAAAAATGCCTTATGCTTCTTGACCTGAAAACATTAACTATAATTTTCTGACAAGAGTTAATTTTTGTTCACTTCAAAGAGAAACAATCCAGACTAATAAACATAGGAGCAATTCAGCAATTTTTTCATGGGTTTTTTTGGTTGTGGGTTTTTTTTTTCCCCTCCTTCCTCTTGTTCCACCAAACTGAGTAATGATGTATTCTTCATTAGTTTATCAGGGCAAAGCTAGTTTCCATAGGGACATTACTGCTCTTTCAGATCCCTCTGATTCTGACTGGACTGACCACAACACCTTGTAAGTCAGAACTCACATTACACTTTCTTTTTTTAAGAAAGCCTACCTCTGTAGTGGTCCCAATGTCAGCAGATGGGCTGCATGTGCTGGTATCTGGTAGAGCTGTACCAACACTACTTTTAACAGGAGAGCTAGGAGGAGCAGGTCCTGCCATGGTTTCAGTATAGACAGAAGACTGATATAGAATTCCCTTCCTCCGAATTTTGTTCCAAACTTTACTTGTGATCTCAGCCAGTTCATACAGAAGCTGCACCTAAAAGAAAAAAAAAATCCTTTTTTAAGATGAAGCTTTCCTTAATGAGGTGAAGGAAAAATCATCAAAGTCCTCCACTGAGACTTCGAATGTAGCAGAACTGAACTTCTCACCATTTATAATGTTCTAATAAGCAACTACATTGCAACTAAAATAATTAACATCAGTTACAGTATAGAGATTTTGATAAAAATAATCTGTCCTTTGTCTAAACATATGGTACGTAGCTCAAAACCAAAACCCATAACATGGTCTTGTAAAACTTTTACTAATATCAGTTTTAACAACTAAATAAAGGTAATTTGTGGTATATTTCATATGTATAGATACTTCCTCTAGAAAAAGGTAAAAATATAAACTTTATGAAATATTAACAATGCAAAAATTATTCATTTAAATGGTATTAAAATAATGATCCCATGCAGTATATTAAACTGTTCTATGTTTTAGGAAGAATATCCACTATCAAACTCAATATTCTCCTGGCATATGTCATTCCAATATTCAGAAACACACTGATTAACTTGCACATTGTTTGACTCAGATCTTAGATATTTACACAAATTTTTGTAAATAAGCATTAATCATGGAATTTGTATGACAACATACTGCAATACACTGTATAAAACAAGCTCAGAGAAAACTGCAAACAATATACAAGCAGATCCACAGCTGGATACCATACCCAACTTGACATTATAAAAAATGGAAATTCTCATATTTATAAGAACTTTAAGCCTCAGGACACATCTACTCTATGAAGCTGGTTTCTTATGTGGGCAGAACAGATGCAGAAAAACACTGTTGTCTATCTACATTTGATATAAAACAGTACTTGATTTTGTGCATGACAGTGTGTGATGAAGTCTCAAAGTACATGCTACAGTCTGTCCTTAAGAGGCGAAGTGCTGGAATTTTATAAAAAATTTCTTAATTCATCTTGGATTTTCTTTTGAAGTTGCAAGGCTTACACTGAGCAGGTCATATACTCTTTTGACAGCATTTTTCCTGGAAAGAGATAAACTTCTCAGTACTTTTTTTGTCTTCATATACAGATGGATCTACAGACAAACAATAACTCTGGCCGTGGCAAAAAGTTCTTTTAGTTATGCCTTAAAATATCTTGTGTCTGTAGCACTCTGATATGCACTGGTAGCCTTTAAATTACTAATTACAAATTTCTAAGTTTTCCCGAGTCCCTTCGATCCAACTCAGGAAGATCAACTAATAACATCCATCTGATTGACTGAGTAATACAACATTAACTGGTGTTGACACATTGCTGGCAAAAGAGTCTCTAGAATATTAATAGCACACAGGCACATATCCAAATCATACATGCTTGCAACCTTCCCTCCCTCCCAATACTTTTTGGTCAAGAAACCAAAGGATAATTTAAGCTACACTTGTCTTAATGAAGCAGGGCTTCCAGAAATTTAATTATGCTACTGTTTGTAAAAGGCACAAAATAATGCAAAAGAAGGAACGATGCAACTTCTGTATTTACATATATGCTCATACACAAAGTAAAGAGGCTTGTCATCAGCTAAACCAACACTGAAGAGTTTAACTCTTGGGTTGCAACACCATGATTATCAAAGCTAATAATTACTTATGTTAGCGCGGAGATTTTTAAAAAATTGCTCAGGCAAGAATCTTTGGAGACCCTGAAGCAGTGGCTATTTCAGACAGCAGTAGCCATCTCTCTGAACATCACCAGCAACCAGGCAGCCAAGTAGCATGACCCTAATACTCTACCGTTCTCTGAAACCAGAGACAAACCAACAAGTTGACCAAGAAAAAAAAAAGGCACGTTTTGATTAGAGGAAGACAATTTTCATGGAGATATGTAAAAAAGTAGAAAATACCAAAAAGCCTCACAACAAAACTTCATTAAAAACAAAAAAGAAGGCATATGTCTATATGTAAATAAAATTTAAAAACTTCAGATAAAGAGCTGAACTTATGTCTTTGATTATTTTTAATACATTTAATTTTATTCCATTAGTTGTTACTCACTAAAATGGAAGGATTTCACCTTCTCTTGTTGGTTGCACTTTTTCAAGTAAGCAGTTTTAATATTTTGAAAAACTATTTTTGATTATATTAGAAGAGCTAATGTAAGCATAAGGCCTCTCTCCTTTATAAGTATTTTTGAGCATAACAGTTAATATATAATAATTATTTTTAGTACACTCTATTCAAGAGAAGAAAAATGGTATCACAAAAATAGGAATAACTCTGCCAGTATTTATTAAGAAAAGTTTCCCTCTCTCATTGCTTCCATTCCCTCCCCAGCAAAACCACACAAAACTCAGTAAGACCTCACTGACTACTTGGTAAAATCTGTAAAGTTCGATATGTTACAGCATTTTATACTTTAAAAAATAACACATTACTACAAAATTGAAAGCTACAACAAAAGGCAACATCCTGGCAATTTTGCACTGGAAGTATCTATTGACTTTAAAGGGATACAACCATCAGAACATGGTTTCATATTACATCATAATACTCAGTAAAACACTTTACCTTTGCTACCATTTAACAAATTCACTAAGCATCACCTATTTTAATGCTGTAACCTATAAACAAAATACAGTCTGTCATTCTAAAGAATCAAATTTCACAGTTACTGCTGTGAATTTATAAATATCAAATGCTGTTTATGTAATCGCATCTTCCATCTTCTGTTCTTGAACATCTGATTAAAGAATACTGATGAGGTTTTTTCCCTCTTTTGCATAAGTAAAGCGGAAAGGACAAGTAAGGCAGATGTAAGGGAGAAAGTACAGCTCAAGAACCTTCACTAAACTCAAATAATTTTTCCACATCCTTTTGGCCATTATAATACTTCAGTTTGCAAAATAAATTATTTGATCACACTTTGGTAAGAAAGCTTGAAAATGTGTTTTACTTACTCCACTTTTTAATTTGCAACTCAAATTTAGGTAAGGCTTCCACTCATAATAATGCCATTTCACCTATAAACTAATACTATTAATATACTACATACATTTACCATGAGATTAATTGGAGATTTAAAAAAATAATAAAATCAGAGTTGATCAGAAAGTTTGCTGGAATTTCACTAAGAGTATACTGATCAAATGTAGCAAACTATTTTGCTTCATGAACATCAAAAAATATTTACCAATTCTCTGAATAGCCACAATATGAAGATGAATTTTGTACAGGTCTATGCAAATTAATACATAATAAGGCAGGTTTCCATAGGCTGTGACACTATCACATATTAATTCACTAAATGTTATCGAAATACCACAAAATTGCAAAGTAAAACTTTCAGGAGTCCTTAAACACAAAATGTAAAATTGTCAGCAAAATCATAAATGAGTAGATCTTGTTGAAGCTGCTCAATTTTAAATTTTAATTTGCTGTGTCCAGTGTGCAATCTCACTCTACCAACCCTCTTCCTAGTGAGTGTGAGCCCATCCAGTACAGAAGATAACGGCATATAGCAAGTAAGTCAGAAATAACTTGGATAGAAGGCAGTGAATGAGGCAGGAGACCACACATGGAGGATAAAACAAATACGCAGTTTAAAACACTTGTTTCATTCACAGAATACAGAATGAGGCAAGGGAAAAACTGAGAAACATATTGTAATGAGTACACACAGAAGACACCATTAAAATTACACCAGCCGCTTTGGCTTTAGTATTCCCAGTCTTAGGCCATAAATCTTTACAGACGTGATGTATCTGTCTATCAAATCAAAATTATAATACTTTGTAGTCTTTCCCTTTCTTTCTATTAAATGAAGCAATAATCAGTTCATTTTGTCCATGACGTCCTTTGAAAAAATCTTGCATATGGCGAAACCTTGGAGTCGACAGCGTATGAATGTAGAGCCCTACTCAGACTTCAACAGATTTGCAGTTCCCAAGAACAAGTGTGTTCTGTCCAGCACCACTGGAAACGTTGCAACTGTCAGGAAAGTGCTATTCAAGTTGCAATAAAGATTATTCAAAATTTTGCATAGAAAAACTATGTATGAACTACAGCAAACTTGATCCAGGTCGGCAAAATACAGGCTGCACTTTTTGAAAAGGTAGTACCGTCTTTGGCTTTTAATAAACATAAATAAGGTGGTAATGTTTGCTTACACACATTCTTTTGGTTTTTTTTTTCCCCTTTACTAAAGGATACCATTGTTTGCCTAAAAAGTATTTTATGTTCAAAGAAATGTTAGTTCTATGAAGATATGGTAAAAAATTACATTAAACCACTTCAATATATGATTCCACAGTGACAGCAGAACAGCACTATAGCATTTAATGGTACATCTGCAATTCATTTCATTCCATCAGCCAAAAGATGCATTTATACTGTAGCTATTACATTTTGGGAAGAGTTAAATTACAAAACTTGAGAGACCTTCAAAGCAAATCTTAATCTAAGCACCTTGATCTTGATGGCCCAGTTAAAAAAAAAAATTAAGATAGAAGAGACCCTCTTCAACAAAATGCAGAATTGTACTGAAACAGAGTTATTTTTAATTTCCTTTCATAAATCAATTAAATGTACCAACCTGGGGGTTGGAGCACTTTATTTCAAGTGATTCAAGGTCGACATGGAGGCAGACAACAAATGAGTGTCTGGATTCTGGCCCCGAAGCAAGCAGTTTCTGTGAAGTAACAGCTAAAGTAGAAGTACAGCCCATTGGTTCCACTAAATTAAGTGTTATCTGTTGTCCAAGAAGAGTATATATACTGAAATGATGCAGACTAATAGTCCAGGGAAAAGCATCACCTGATGATTAAAAAGAAGGAAAAACAGTTAAATAATTGCATAATAGAAAATAAGACTATTATTTTCTTAAAACTCAGTAAAGGCATTACCCCAAACTCCCTTAGAAGTCAGCAAATGCAATCAACAACCATTACATTGATCCCAAACTCTCACAAATATAATTCCATTCTATACTTCAAAATCTAAACAACAGCAATAAATTTTTTACAACTTTTTAAAAATTGAAAATCTTTGAGAATTTTAACCCGCAATTGTGAACAAACATGTACAACACAGTCTTTAAATAAGTCTTTTTGCTTTATATGATTTTCCAAATCATATAAAGTATGTATATTCATATGTATCCAAAAAACACTCCCCACTTTTTCCAGCATATGAATGGGAGAGCCAGTTCCTTACATTTTATACTTATCCATGTTTACAGGTTTTAATACTGAAACGGAGAATTATCTTTCATCCAAAAATTTACAGCTTGCATCTCAACAGAGTGGTGCCACAGAGTAAAGCCTATTCTAATGCATTGCTCAGGAAAGTGAGACCTTGATCACAGTGCAGCTCCTTCCACTGCCTCCACTTCCTAGGAACAGAACATGATGGATTTCGTAAAAACAAATTACTACAGACATACACTAAGCACTTCATTTCTTACATTTAAGAGAGAACCTACCCCAAAGAAGCACCTGGCAGCCTACCATGAATCTTTATCAAGAATAATCAGTGAGGGAATCAGCAGCGTCCAGCTGAATAACAAAACAGCTGCAATTTCAGTACAATTAATTTTCTTTAGATGGTCAATAGATGGCAAAGAAAAGGAAAAATTTCCAAAGAAAGACCACAGAGAGAATTATTTGGGTAGGTCTTTAAAAGACCAACAGGAACTCTTTTTAGTGAGACAAAACCTTCAACAGCTCTACCAGCTAGAGATGAAAGGAACTGAGAACATAGACTACGGAAACTAAAGCAGAATCCCTGTGGTGGGTTTGATCTTGGCTGGACACCTGGTGCCCACCAAAGTTGCTCTATCACTCTCCCTCCTCATAGAATCATATCCTACTCTGGTGTTGAGTCTGTTTCGCTCATGATGGTAATTCCTGAGTGATTTCCCTGTCCTTATCTTGACCCACTGATCTTATTGGCATCACAGAGCCATGGCAGGATGGCTGCTATGACTGGATTGTTGGAATGGAAGGGCATAGGCTCTTTAGGAAGGACACGCAGGGGAGATGAGGAGGGGGTATCACCCTCTATGTCAATGATCAGCTGGAGTGCATCGAGCTCTGCCTGGGCATGGATGAGGAGCCAACCAAGAGTTTATGGGTCAGGATTAAGTGACGGGGGGTGGGGGGCACGGACAGGTGACATTATAGTGGGGGTCTGCTACAGGCCACCCTACCAGGAAGACCTAGTAGATGAGGCCCTCTATAGACAAGCAGGAGGAGCTTCATGTTCACAAGCCCTGGTCCTCATGGGGGACTTCAACCACCCCAGCATCTGTTGGAGGAACAACACAGCAGGGCATAAGCAATCCATGAGGTTCCTGGAATGTGTTGATGATAGCTTCCTACTCCAAGTGACAGAGGAGCCAATGAGGAGAGATGCTATGCTGGACCTTGTTCTCACCAACAAGGAGGGGCTGGTGGGGAATGTGAAGCTCAAGGGCAGCCTTGGATGCAGTGACCATGAAATGGTGGCGTTCAAGATCCAGTGAGACCAGTAACAAGTGCTGCTCCTCAAGGGTCGGTATTGGGACTGGTGCTGTTTAACACTTTTGTCAGTGACATGGACAGTGGAATGAAGTTCAGCAAGTTTGCCAACAACACCAAGTTGTGTGGTACAGTTGACATGCTGGAAGGAAGGGATGTCATCCAGAGGGAGCTTGACAGGCTTGAGGTGGGCCTGTGCAAACCTCACGAAGTTCAATGAGGCCAAGTGCAAGGTTCTGGGTTGGGGTAATCCCAAGCGCAGACACAGGCTGGTGATGAGTGGATTGAGAGCAGCGCTGCGGAGGAGGACTTGGGTGCTGGTGGGTGAAAGACTGAAGATGAGCCAGCAAGGCGCGCTCACAGCCCAGAAAGCCAATCGCATCCCGGGCTGCATCAAGAGAAGCGTGGTCAGCAGCTCGAGGGAGGGGATTCTGCCCCTCTACTCTGCTCTGGTGAGACCCCCAATTGCAGTGCTGCATCCAGCTCTGGAGTCCTCAGTGCAAGAAAGACACAGAGCTGCTCAAGCAGGTCCAGAGGAGGCGACGATCAAGGGGGCTGCAGCACCTCCCCTGTGGGGATAAGCTGAGAGAGGTGGGGTTGTTCAGCCTGGAGAAGAGAAGGCTCCAGGAAGACCTTATAGTGGCCTTCCAGTGCTTAAAGGAGGCCTACAGGAAAGGTGGGGAGGGACTCTTGATCAGGGGGTGTAGCAATAGGATGAAGGGTAACGGCTTCATTCATCATTCAAGAGGGAGATTTACATTAGATATTAGGAAGAAGTTTTTTACTGTGAGTGTGGTGAGACACTGGCACAGGTTGCCCAGAAAAGCTGTGGCTGGCCCCTCCCTGGCAGTGTTCAAGGCCAGGGTGGATGGGGCCTTGAGCAACCTGGTCTTGTGGAAGGTGTCCCTGCCATGGCAGGGGGTCTGAAACTAGGTGATCTTTAAGGTCCCTTCCAACCCAAACCATTCTATGATTCTATGAAAACCCAAAGAATGCTAAACAGAAGTGAGTACAATGAGACATGTGGTTAGTTCTCATTTTACCTGAAACAGATATGGTTTTTTGCTATTTAGAAGTACAACAGCATAACAATTATTTCAGGTTTTGGGGTGTTCTGTTTTCCTATAAAGAAAGTCTTCATCATTCCATTTACTGGATTTTCTGCTCAGGAAGTTGGGCCTTTTTGTCCCCACTTAAATGACAGAGAGTCTGTGCCTACCATATGAGTTTCCAGTCCAACAGAAGAAACTGCCTGCCCCAATTCAAATTAACATAGAAGTGGTTGGATGCAGTCTCAGATCTAACCACAGAAGGCTGGTGAGCATCCACAAACCTCAGCCTGCACTGAAACAGCCTTCATCTTTGTACAGAGCACAATCCTTTGGAGGAAGAGAAGGAGAAAAGTTCTCCTTCCTATATCAAAATTCAGAAGATTATTTGGTATGACATTTTATTTTTCAAGATTTGGACCTGGACTCATGGGTAAGAAGAGTCCAAATTAATCTAATACCCCAGAAGCATGGGAGCCACACATGAGAATCAGAACAGAAGATTTTCAGACAAATACAAATGTACACTGGGATGGGTCTTTGGAGGCTCACAGGGCAGTAAAGGACTCAAACCAGGGTATTTAAACAATACATGGAGAGTGTGTTTGCTGCCTGGTGTGGCCTACAGTCAACACTGGCCTGCTGAGAAATCACAACACTAAGAAATAGCACAAGTTAAGTGTTAACTGTGATTATTTAAAAGAAACTTTATAAAAGTTTTGAAACCAAAATAAAGTTGGATCCAATCATCTTATTATCATATTATTTTAGTAAAAGTTCTATTGTTTCTTCCACAGGTGGCACCACCAATAAATTTATATTGGTCAGGAGTATATATCAGGAGAGTCTGTGTGTCTCATCCTAAGAAAGAACTGAAAACTTCAGTAGTTTATTTTGAAGCTATTGCATACTGAAGAATTCAGCTCAGCCAAAGTAACTTGAAAATATTTTGGAAAGGTTTCAGATTAGAAATTTTAAAGTATTTTTTCCAAGTTCAGTCAGCCAAGAAATACAAAATATTAATTGTAATAGACGGAAAAAAATTCAAATGCGAAGTCAGCTCTAATGACATGTTTCTAACTACAATGCATGAACTTTGTTTTTCTCTGTGGCCACCAGAGAAAATTAACATCATTTATATTTCATGGATTAGAAAGAAAGAATCTCCAAAGAAAATACTGAAAGTTAACTCTACTACACTGCATACATTATCTACCTTAAAAGGAAAGCACTGATCAAATTCTATCAATGTACAGAAACCACAGTATGCTAAACACTGTAATAAATATATAGCAAATTTACAGCTATAAAATTCCCCCTAATCTCATCAATTACCTCTTCTTCAGCTCCATACACGCTATGTGACCATTTTAACATTATACTGAAATTGTCCACCTGATAAATCCTTGTTTTGTTGTGGTACCTATGTTTCCTTTATTCGTTTTAGAAAAAACCCTGTACCTGCATTCATTTGCAGATTGGTCTTATGAAACTATTTAAATAATTAATTCAAAGTGTCTAACCATCAAAAGCAACATGATTTATAGGATTTATTTTTAAAAATTATTTATTAGTAGGAAGGAAGGAAAAGTCAGTGCTGCACTTGGCAGGTATTTTCTATACATCTAACCTTCCCATCTATGTATACCAGTGTTTTGTCACCTAATTGCTGAGACAGTTTTATGCTGAAATATTATAAGTAAACTTAACATTGCTTTCAGTGGAACTAGAGCTCACCCAACATCTCTTATAGGCAAGATTATAAAAGATACACATGAGAGACCCCTAGCACGGTTGAAGATTCTGATTGATTCCTGATCTACTGCTCTCATAAATCCTTACTTTTAATTTTTTCAAACATGACTACTGATTTAAAAAAAAATGGAAAATGTATTCATTAAAATATTTGATAACTTCTTAAATTTATAAATATAACTTTCAGATCTTTGCAGTTGACTGATCCAATCACTAGACAAGTTTTAAAGAACTGGCATTCATCATTTATCTGCTATTTGGAATAGTTTAGCAAGACTCCTTTCCTACAGAGTTTTGGATTTTTCCAATATATATAATAACAAATTTTTGCTATGTGCAAGCACCTTCTCTGCTAGTTATTTGAAGCCTTTTGTTTCTTACCTAGAGTCAATCCTCATTATAAGCCTTCCATATGCATGACATACAATATTGATAAATGTACTTAACTACTAACTGTTATGTTTGCTCTCACTTTTACTTAACACTTCT